CTCCTAAGTAGTTATAATGTGGGTATTTGTTTTTAAATAACTCTCACGGAAAAGAGACTTTCCATGATTCTCTTCCAGAACAATGAGCTCCGTTGGGGGGGGAGAGGTTTTTTTTCACTATAGGGCGCGTGCGCTCGCCAGACAGACAGAAAAAGACAGAGAGACAGAAAGTGAGAAATCACCCCCTGGGGGGATGGCCACGCTGCAATCCCTTCTCCTCCATTCTCCTCTCGGGATCTTGGGCACACACGCACACATGCCCGGCGTGAGTTTTAAGCCACTGGGTCTGGGACGCGAACCGTGGTCGACTACGTGGGAGTCCAGTGACATAGCCATTACGCTAACTGCTGGTTCCCAATAAATTGTTTTTGTTTTTGTTTTTTTGTGTGCTAAGGGATTTAAGTAAAACAGTCCAGAAGCTTCGTTGTGGGTTATCTTGTTTGAATGCTCTAATACACAACCACAAATCTATCAGAGAAAACTTTTGAGCATATACCTGATAATGTTTCTCGCTTATTTAGATGTCTTTGAGGGCTACTCGAAATCATCATCATAAATCCACATAATGTAAGCAACTTTCTGTCACGTAAATTAGTGAGACTGCAACCCTCCAAACTTTCCATATTGTGGGAGTACCACTTTTCCACAACAAAAACTTTTACTTAGTGACATGTGACCATCTTACAAAAAATAAATAAGTAAATCAGGTGATTGCACCAATGCTAATCCATATATTGACTATCATTAGCATCATATTTATCTTGATTCTTAGATAATATTTTAAGTAGAAATCTTTTTTCCGATGGATAGTTTAGTGCAAGCTGTGAGTATCCACAACCAGCTTTAGCACCCCCTAATGTGTTTGTTTATTCCATTTGATTGGGGGGGCTCTTGGAGAGCTATAGATAATGGTTCATTGTTGTGCCTCCTATCCTTGCATACCTAGCATGGTATCCAGATGGAACTCAGGACGTCATTGCTGCTGCAGGCTGCCTACACAGATGAAGGAGTCAATCAATCAATCAATCATTGATCAAATGCAGAGTGTGCAGGACACACAGAAAGCTAGAAGTGTAAGACCCATATAACCAAGGAGAATCAAGTATTTAATACATGATGAACATTTTTTCTGATATTTCTAAGTATAAGCAAATTCTGTTCTTCCTAGAGCTGTAGGAAAGTAAGTCTTAAACATTGACTCTCCTCCTAAGTAGTTATAATGTGGGTATTTGTTTTTAAATAACTCTCACGGAAAAGAGACTTTCCATGATTCTCTTCCAGAACAATGAGCTCCGAGGAAGGGGCTTTCAAAATTAGGGTCAGAGACTAAGTTCAAGCTCACCAGCTCTAACTACATGCAATCTCACTGTAAGACAAATACTATAAATACTCATGAAACTCATAGCTAATTGCCTAATATTTGAATGTCCTTGAATGTGGGACAGGTACCTTTGCATGAAGATCCCTTTATAGGATCCACTGATATCAGCAAAGAGAAAATAATCAATGCTATTTGTATCTGAAAAGGAAAAACAAGAGACAATTTTTAAGGGCATCAAGCTGAATAAGGACAAAAATGCTAAATTAGGACAAATATTTGTATCGAAGAAAACATTTATGACTCAGTCACGGTGGTATGCTGCTAAGACACTGTGCTCCACACGCCGGAAGCAAGTAGAAGACCTTGGTTCAATTTCCAGTCCATCCTAAAGGTGGGTACAATGGCATGCACCTATAACCACAGTATCTCGGAAAGCTGAGGCAGGAGGGTCTAATCTTGGGGCTGGCCTGGGCGACATGGAGAGATCTCATCTGAAAAAGAACCAGGCACAGAAGCATGAGCCTATGGTTCCAGCAGGGAGGCTGACAGAGGAAAATTGCAACATGGAAGACACTGTTTTACACACACACACACACACACACACACATTTATGTAGCAAACGGACTAATGAATTTCACTATGATCAGTATGTAAAAGCTTTGTATTTCTTTGAACTGGAAAATAGTCATTTCCTTAGGAAAAAATGTGTGTGTATTACAAGAAACCTTAAAAAATAAATAACGAAGAAAACAGGCTTATGCTCAGCCAACCTGAGAGGCTGAAAAAGAAGCTAAGCTGAGTGACCAGAGCATGATGTTAGCTAACAAATACACATTTAGTGTTTACCACCCTGGGCAAGTCTGTGACTACCGATAGCCTTTCACAATTCAGACAGGGACAGGGTACGGGACAAGGAAAGAAGCATCCGAAGGTATAAGTGAGCTGTTGATTATTTATGTGAATCCAGAGTCACGTCACAGATTTATTCAAAATCAGTGTAGATTTAAGCTTACTGTCTTTGTACATAAATTTGAATATGTGGCTTATTTAGTCTGAGGTTCTAAGTGTTCCTCAAAGTTAAAACGAAATAATAAAATGATGAGCCAGCAGGTGGCGTGGTGGTGAAGGCACTAGATACCATATGGCTGACTCCTAGTGGCTTGGAAAACACAGGCGCGCAGGTGTGTGTGCTGCGTGCCCAACTTCCTTAGAGGAGAATGATGGGGAAGAGATTGCAGCGTGGCCATCTTCTCTAGGGGGTGACCTCTTGCTTTCCCTCTCCCTGTCTCTCATTGTCTCCAGTGAATGCACGTGTCCCTCTCTCTCAGTGTCTCTCACCAGTGAGCAATCACACTGTATAGCAAAAATCTTAAAAATAATCATAATACAAATAAATAAAGTGACTTTATTGCATCTTAACAAGAAAAGTTGAAAAAAAAAATGCTGTTTCCCTATTCAGAACTCTTTTTACTCCACACTAAGAAACCATATTTATTCTATTAAAAAAAAAAAAAAAACTATCATTTTATGGAATGATCATTCTTGAATTGGGGCCAGGTAAGTAAGGCTATAGGTAGTCAGAAAAGATGAAATATAGCCAGTGTTGAAGAGTCAGAAAAATACTCGGATTTTTTTCTTCACTCAGCAAAAAATCACGTAGCTGCTTTATGCTCATCAGATCTGACCATTCTCTTAATTTACCTGCAAGGCATCAGGCAGGAAGGGGAATCTACATGTTAGTCTTGCCTGGTAAACTCTGTCTGATGACCTTCAGGTGATACTAAAGAAAAAAAAAAAGAAAAAAAATAGGGGTAAAAAGTAAGTTTTCCAGTGGCCTCGTCTGCTCCCCTGGGATGTGAGCAAGGTGTACAGCATATGGCAAGGACAAGAGGAGTGACTGAGAACTCAGAGCCTCGTGGTGAGCTTTGTAACCTCAGTCATCCCATCAGACAGGCCACTCTCAATTGTCCCATGGACAGATGCATGCTAAGATAAACGGCCACATTGCTGGGACTTCTGACACCAGAATCTGCCAGTTATATCCATGCCACTCATATTTTTCTCTCAGCTGACTAGGATTCCTTTGTATCCCTTCTTGATTTGGCACCTTGATTCTGGAAGGTTCTGTAGATGCCCTGAAGCATCTGTTCTAGCTTCTGTCCCCCTTCTTGCTGAAATTTCTCACTCTAGATCTGCTGTAGCTGAATTACTTGCCTCCTGCTTGGCAAACTTCAATGAAAAGGTCAGTCTTCTCTATTAAGGTATCTGCAAGTTGATACTAAAGAAGAATGACAGTGTAGGCAAATCTCCGCCCCCCCCACCCCCCGCTCTTTTTTTTCTCTTTATAATGTTCCTTTCTCTATTTATGGAGCATTTTACTCTATCGTTTAATAAGAAAGCCCACACTGGGAATTTTGTCCAGCAAGATCTAATGGAATGACAACTCAAAGGGATTTTGAGTCTCTGCCATTTCAACTACCAGAAACAAAAATGTCCTTCTACGAGAAGACTTCAAAAAGTTTGTAGAAGGCCAGCAGATGGTGTAGAGGTAAAGGTGTCTGGATCCCATGTAGCATAATTTACGTCCTGGACCTGGTAGGTTGAAAAACACACCAGTATGCACACACGACCAAAATCCTATAGGCAAAGTAGAGAAGGGATTGCAGTGTGGTCATCCTCCTTGGGGGATGCTTTCTCACTTCGTTTTCTCTTTCTCTCTCTCTGTCTCCAGTGAACATACATGCTCTATAACAAAAACAACAGATTTTGTAGAAAAATGGAATAAGGTACAAGTTTATTTAGATACAAAAAGAAATTGAAATCCATGCATAGTTTTTCATTTCATAATATGAATTTTCAATTTACTTTTTGAAGACTGCTCATATTTCTTGATTGAAATGGCCCAAATATTTTTTTTTCCCAAAAGCTACTCTCTTTTGCAAACAGTCTTCACCTATAAGCAGGGACCTCTTGGATTAGAGGTTTTCCATATCCAGATAAAAGTGTTCAGTAGAGTGTGTTAAGAAGTTTATTGTAAGACTTAAACATTATAGGGATTAGGGACATAGACTTGAGCCAGACTGAGTTTGAATCCTGACTACTGAATTTATTAGGCATGTAATCAGGGGTTAATACATTAACCTCTCTGGACCGCATGTTCCTCATCTGTATAATGACATGAATGATATCACTTACCAAACTTCTGTGAAAACTAGTCAGTATATATAAAGTTCTTAAAATGAGCCTAGCTCTATAGCTCATGAGCTTCTTTCTACCTCTTTTATTAATAAGACATCCTGAACTATATTTTGGTTACCTAAACTCTGCACAGTGGTGCAAAGGCTGAAGGGACAGTATAATCTGGCCCAGGAAGAAGTACCTTCATCTGGGGCAGAGAACAAATCACCATTACTTGCTAATTTTTCTCTCCAATCAACATTTATTAATGTAACAAACCATGTGCAAGAACTTTGCTATACTTTATCTCTTTCAATCTTCACAACAGCTCTCTGAGAAACTATTTCCATTTTATTGATGATACAATTGACATACAGTTGTCCGTGTTTTCCTATGAGTAGTTCTTCTTCCTTTCTCCCTCCTCCTCCCACTTCCTCTCCCTGATCTCCTCCTTTTCCTTCTTCTTGGTTGTTGTTCTTCATTTATTTACTTATTTCTTTCATAGAGGAGAGAGAGAGAGAGAGAGAGAGAGAGAGAGAGAGAGAACAAGTGCATCCCTAATAGGGTGTTTAAAACCACAGTTCATCCCCAGCCTCTGTCAGACCTAGATCATGGGCACTAGTGCAGAATGCCACTTTGTACCACTGCACCAGTCTAGCCCCTTTCCTATGAGCAAGTTCTAACAAGGTTTATGGCTTTAATGCAAACCTAAATGTCTCAAGAGTTCAAGTCTCATGCCTTTCCCACTGCTCTGTGTTCTGTCTCTAAGTAATAGTACATCTCCAGAGTTAATTATTGTTTTATAAAGTAATTATGTATACATTATTTAATTCTCACAATAATTCTGTTATTGACCCTCAGTTAGGTTCATTTAGCTGCAGGTAACAGAGAGCCTGGATGGCAGATGTATAATCAAATAGAGGCTTCGTCTTTGTATATACAAGTCTAGATCTAGTTAAAGCCAGCTCGTAGCTGGCCTCTCCTCCGTGGCTCAGTGATGCTATCAGGAACTCAAGCTCATTCCTCTGTTTCTCTCCTGCATGTGATGCATGTTGATTTTTCTTTCTTCAGTTTTTTATCTTGTGTCTGAAAAGTGTTTCTCACAGCTCCAGGAGAAACAGAGCTGGAAGCCGGTAGTTCAACAGTTGCTGGCAAAGGAGCAGAAAAAATAAATAAATAAATAAATAAATAAAATAAAATAAACATTATTAAGAAGAAAAAATCTCTCCCATGTTGCTTGTTACCTAGCCACAAATGACACTGGGGCAATAAGCAGTTAGTTTTTCACAGTCTCTCTAGTGGGAGTCAAGACAAAGACAAATGAGGTTACAACAAGGTCTCAGGGGTAAGACAAGGAGCAGTCTCTGGCACTCCTACGTATTACCACAGGCCCATCCACAGTGGTGCACAGAGACTCTCACCTCTCAAGAGGCTGGAAGCAGCATGGGAGGGCTGATTCAGTTCATGGGCCAGTTGTACATGCCTGTAATCCTAGCTGTGGGGATGCCGGAGCAGGGGGTGGTGACAGTGAGACTGTCAGAAATACTTAACTCTTCCTCTCTTGCTCTCTCTCCTTCTCCCTATTTCTCTTTTATAAAGAAATAAAAAGCATTACTGCAAACATCTTTCTGGTAGGGTCACAGATCAAGACCAACAATGACTTGACTGTTGTCTCAGGGTCTCAGGGACTTAAATCAAGAATTTTTTGAACTGAGCCTCTAAACTTTCCACTGTAGTGCAGTAGCCACTGAATTAAGCATTGATCCTAAATCTTCCCAGCTGTACATGAAGAAGACCAAGCTTTGAATCTCTTCTGGGTGTGTTATTTACGTGTAACATCTACTGTGGTTTTAAAAAACAATCAGAAGAACAGCATACTGGTTACATAGCTGGACTCCCATGGAGTTGACTACAGTTTGAGTCCCCAACCCAGTGGCTTAAAACTCATGCCGGGGACATGTGCATGTGTGCCCAAAATCCTGAGAGATGAGTGAAGAAGGGATTGCAGTGTGGCCATTCCTCCTTTGCGGGGGTGGGGGGGTGGGGGGGAGCTGGTGGTGATTTCTCAATTTCTGTCTCTCTGTCTCTCCAGCAAGCGCACACACCCTATAGCAAAAATCTCTCTAAATTAAAAACAAATGATGATTACAATAGTAATATGGCTCTAATAATCTCGAACAAATTGAAATAAAAACCTCCTAAACAATGAAAAGAAAAAAATAAATCATGTTAAGGGTTACAGATTTACTGAGATTTATTTTAAATTCTGTATACATTTGGAGGGAAAAAGATAACTGAAACAAGTTCATATGATTTATGCTTAAATTCTAAATCTTAAATGCAAATATTCCAAATTCGAAAGACAAACTCTCTATTACCAAATTTTAAAAATCCACTACTTGTGACTGTATAAAAACACTAAAGAATGTAATACATAACAACTTAGATATTAATTTTGCTTTTAAAAAATCTGTTAATGGGAAGGTGGTCTTTAGAGTCATTAAATTAGTATTATTTGATGTGATCTTATGTGCTCTTACTTGATAAGAGGTTAGAACTTAGAATAATTAAAGAAATAGCTGGACAATATGATTTTTACCCCAACTTCTGTAGGCAACTATACTCTCATTCAGACTTTTTTGTGTATAGACATTTTATTTATCGATTTTATTATCAGAGGGCATGTTGACCTAATAGAGAGAGAAAGACAGGAAGGAAAAGAGAAAGAAAAAGCACCCCCTGAGGGGTGTGGCTACACTGCAATATCTTTCCTCCATTTTTCCTTCCCATCAGGATTGTAGACACACGCATGCACTCAGGGTGTTTTTCAAACTGCAGGAGCTAGGATTTGAACATCATGGTTGATCATCTGGAATCCAGTTCCCAATGCACAATGCTTATTAACCACTAATCTAGGAAATGGCCCTGTGTAGACATTTTGATTTTTTTAAAGAATTATTTAATTTTATTTATTCATCACTTATTTTAATTTGATCAGACATACACACACACACACACACACACACACACACACACACACACAGAGAGAGAGAGAGAGAGAGGAGAGAGAGAATGTGAGAAAGCGAGCAACCAGGTCCAGGACTCAAACTGTGGTCAGCCACGTGGGAGTGTCCAGTGCCTTAACCACCACACCACCTGCTGGTCCTGACATTTTGATTTTAATTACAGATTTAATACATGCCCAATGGGAACACACATGAACTCATGCATGCACTCACACACAGCCACAAACCCAGAACGGAAAGCAAATAAACCACCAGATTCCACCATCAAGAAAAGATAATTTGCACATTGTTGTGTGTATTTAGTCAATATTTCTCATTTGAAAACATGCATATTTTTCTTTTCAAAAATGCAATGACACTTTTCTGTCTGATTTTTCAGTTATGAATGCACCAAGAACACTATCCTTAATCAATGAATAGCATCTTCCAACATGATTTTTAATTTGGGTCTCATTTTGCATTGAAGGCATATATATCACAATGTAGTAACCAATTTCCCAAATTTGGGTTTAATATTTTCCACTATTAAAGCAAGAAACCACTTACCATTGTTGTACATATATCTTTGCACACATTTCTGATAAATTACTAAAAGTGGAATTGCTGTGTCAAAGTGTTGGAGCATTTTTAAACCTTTTGTCAAATACTGCCAAGGTGATCTCCAGAAATTTATTCTCACCACCTCAGCTGGGCTTTTGACAGGAGCTGGATAGCAGATAATTTGAATTATGCTCTCTGATGAGTACCACCAAGAAGCACTGCTACAGCATTGGAAACAACTGCTCCCATTCTCTGCCCCCAAGTTTGGAGGTGAAATTGGAAGCCCTGACCTGGAAATCAGAGAACAAAGATTCTGTTTGGGGAGTTACCTGATTCACCTATTTCACTAGTCATCACATGAGACAATATATTTTTAAATTCTTCATAAATGTCATAGAGTTTTGTAAACACAAGGAACCACTAATTCAGCAAGGACATTCTTAAAGGAATATCCCAGAAGGAGGAAACATTTATCTTGACCCTAAATGAAAGAGGAGCAATAGAATCTCCCTGAGGAACGCTCAGGGATGGGACTGCACATTCTCAGGATCTTTTGTGTCACTTTTTGCTTTACCTTTTAGAAATTATTCAAAGAAATGTTAATACACATTCCATTGTTCAGGTTTATAAGAGTTGTCTGTCAATTAGTGATTTTCCTATAAAGCCCAGAGGCAATTAGATATCAAGAGACAATCCAAGAGAGGGAAAGGGTAGGTCTTTACTATTGTTTGATACACAGGAGAACACTGAGGTTAGTGTTCATGAAATAGTTCAAGTTCCCTGGTAATAAATGCTGTGCTTTGTATTATTCTAAAATCCCTCTGTGTACTGAATATATTAAAAAGTCACTGAAACTACTCAAAATATCTGTTTGGCTAGAACTGTAATTCTTAATAATGCTATCCTCATCATCAAACTACATCACCTTTTCATCACTGTCTTCTCTGGAACACAACCTTTTTTCTCCTGTTTATTGTCTCAAAGAGAGTAGCATGTCAGAAAGATTTGCTCAACCTTAACGATAGTGAATAGTCACAAAAAGCAAAATATGTGACTGTGATAATGAAGTTTGCTGAACTTTAAACAGAAAAGTCCCCTGCTGACAATAATTCTGAATACCCTCGCTTTAGTAAGTTGGTCAGAACACGGATATCATTTAATATCATTTTTTGGGTGTCTATCTATTTGGCAGAGTGTCAGAGCATATTACATTTCTGACAAAATTTGACTCTTGCCATCAAAGAATTAATACACTGAGTTCAGGCAAGGAGCAATTTATGCACTGATGCTTTTCCATGGAGTTTTCTCTTCCTGTTAAATCAGCTGTTCACACACACACACACACACACACACACACACACACACACACTAGGAATGCAGGCACTTGTCAAATCACATGATTCTATGCTCAGACAATCCCTGAAATTCATAGCATTTTTCCAGTGTCACATACTGCATGTCACGCCAGTTGCAACTTCCGTACTCTTTCCTCCAATATTTTAATGGGCAAACTTGAGTATTATATTTCCCAATTTCAAACCCTTCAGCACTGACAGTCCAAAACTCCTGAGGATATGAACTAATGCAAAAGGTTCCGGCGGAGCTGAGCAACTTCAGCTCTGGTCTATCAGTGTCAAGTCCTCAAGCTCTTGAGAAATAATTTTACTTATTAAAACACATTTTCCTTCAAAACTACTGGAGGAAAGACAAAGCTCTCAGTGACCTCTCAGAAAATTGTTGAATTAAGGAGAGAAGTCTACATAATTCTTCCATTTTAAAGTCTTGTGAAAGTATAATTAATGTACCGAGAAAGAGCTCTGCTTTTCATTCACTGATTTGAATTATTGAACTGAACCTGTACCTCAGGATGAGGTTGCAAACATATTGCTTTCCGGCATTTCCTATCTCTCAAAAATAAAGATAGACAATGTCAACAGGTTGGATTAAAGCATGGGGTATATATTTGCAGGATTGTAGTGAATGTCTTCGGATCCTTACAAGTCTCCCTTCCCCCAGGAATCTCACAGCCCTTAAAGTGAAGCCGACCCATCGGTGTAGTCGTGATGAACTCTTCTTCAAGTGTCTGAAAATCCATTGTGCTAAGAGCATTTTATTAATTTGATTTCAACTAATGGGTCAGGACCATTCCCCACTTCAACATTCAATATCTTTTCTGTTTTCCCCAATCATTATTTTTATTATTCTAATTATTTTTATAAAACAGTCAATTGTTATTTCTCGTTTTGCTTGTAAAAATACTTTGCCCATCATGAAATACTTCTCAGACCAATCCAGTTGAGAATACTATACATGTCATCATCAACAGTTAATAACCCCTATCTGTTTCTCACTAACGTCCTGTCTCTCTATTGTTCACTTGCTATCTTTCTCTATCCTCTTCTCTTCACTTACCCCATTCCACACTGTCCTATTCTCATTAAGTACCTTCACTGTGTTTATGTCCTCCGAATTTTTGCTCTCTATTATAGAGTGCGGATAGTCGGTATATATTGAGTGGATACATACAATATCTTTCTTTCATAGCCTGGCTTACTTCACTCAGCAATAGATCCTCCATATCT